TTAGTGTTAGTAAGTGTTAAATTATTAACTCCAGACAGAGTTGATTTTTGACACTTAATTAGAGTTACGATACTAACTCTCCAAATAGTGTTAAATTAACACTCTCTGGTGTGGACCCATGTAGAYWCTTTAGAAGTGTTAAAATCAAATCTGATGGTGTTAATTTGGGCATGCTGGATTGATTACTGTAGGTGTCAAAATGTATTTATGAACGAGGGAACACGACCTGAGAGGGCCTGGAACGTGAGGAAGTATTTATATTTTTTAAGTTCTGTACTCAAACTACACACATATTTTGTGTGCTTAATTTATCATAGAAATATTTTAAAAGTTGACAGCAAAACATATGGACCACTGGGCCATCACATCTAAACTTTAAAAATCTCAAATAACTCTTACCTCACCACTTCTTGAGCTAAACTTTGCTGAGCTTAGAGTCATTATGACAAACTGAGCTCGATATGATCAATAAGTGGAGGGTTTTAACTCACATGGTTACAGTCTGATGTTTTAGCCATCATCAGTTCTTCAAAAGAAAATAAAACATGTTGGTACTCAGTTTGTTTGGACTCTACATTTATCATCTGTGTGCTTCAACACATTACAAAAAAAAAAACAAAATCTGTCATTGACAAAATCTAAACATGCAGGAGGGACAAACCTGATGAAATGTAYTTCATTTAGCAACAAACAACAATGAAGAAAAAGAGCACATTTATTTATACAAGAATGAATTTAGTTGATAAAAGTCCAGAGGTAGAAGAACACAAAGCATTCAGAGAAACACAGCAAAAATACTTCTTAAGAACCACATTTACTATTTACAGTAGACAATACTTTCAGAAACACACACACATAAAACTTGCCCAAACTGGAAATAAAATTTGCCCATGTTAAAATATGTAATGTTAAGAGGAAATAATATAACGTACCATTTTAACAGCCTGAGGCATATATTAAGAGCTTACATTTGTATATAATGAACATCTAAAACAGTAGATGTSAAAAACACCTGAAGAATGACCTGAAATTTTTTTTGTTTGTTTTGTTTTTTGTAAAATAAGTGGAACTTGGACACATTTTTCTAAAACTGGCCTTAAATGCAGACATATAAATTAAAATAATATTCAGACCGTGCTGCTGCTGATAAATAAAACACCTGAGGTTGTTGTAAGAAGAACCAGACCCAGGCTGGACTTATTAACAGGGCTCAGTCTGGAGCATGGACAGGAGGAAGGAGCACATGGAGGCCCACGCGCTACTGCAGTACTCCTCGGCWGTGCTCCGGTGGTCCGCGCGCCCCGTGCAGGGGGTCGACGTGGGGCGGGGGGTCGGATCTGGAGCCGTGGTCGGGGTGTGGGTCACCGGCCCTTCGGACTGCGCGGAGGGCGCCGAGCTGCTCGCGTCCAGTTGGAAGTGCGCGTCTCTGGGCGCGCGCCTACACACGCCAGCCCTGACCAGCGCACGCTCGTCCCTGCACAGTTTCGCCCGTAGCTTCTTGAGCGCGCGACCCACCTGCTTCCAGAAGCCTCGCGGGTCGGAGCGGAAGGCCGGGCAGCTCTGAGGTCTGCCACGGTACGCGCACCTCAGCGGGTCGGCGTGTCCGCCTCCGAACCGGGCCTCCGTGTTCTGGCATCTGACCCTGAGAGTCACGGMGTCTCCCGCGTCCTTGGCAGTCCACGTGCACGGCATGTGGTCACTGGTGTTGAACCTGCCACGGGGGGCCACGGAGCCCCCTCCTGCTCTGTGCCCCGCTGAGGAGGAGAGCCGCTGCTGGAGGAAAACCAGCATCCAGAAAGAGAAGGTCCTCAGAGGCAACATCACGGCAGAAACAAAAGAACTGTGATCTGAAAGAGGATGGAAGAAAAAATAAAACCTAAACATAAAGTTCAAAACAGTGAAACAATAAACTCTCACAATCTAACTCACCGGATGAAGCGCGTCTGTGCGTAAAATCTGTCCGGTAAGTCTCTCCGCTCACGCTTTTTCATGTCCGACACGCCCACCATTCATCACGCACACTCACACACGTACCCCCCGCACATCCACTGAGGAGGGTCTTAACACAAGCTTCCGGTGCCTGACCCGACATGTCTGCAGCTGAAAACAGCAAACCAACCGAGACAACGTCTGTCAAATAACTTCAGCTGAAAAACATCTCCACCAATCAGCCTTCAGTGGAGGTTTTAGGTTTTTATTGCTGTCATAAATCAGATTTATGGTCATCATAAGTTAGGAATATATAAGACATCCAGGTGGTGCAGTTAAGAATCAGAACCACCTCAAATGACTTCTTTCCAATTAAGAAGAGCGTTGCAGGAAGCTTATTTCGACCCTTTTTATCCAGGATCTCGTTTTGGTCCCAAATGATAGGTGAAGACTGGATGGTGAGCAGGACCAGGCCCCGAGGCTTCATTATGGTGAAATCCATCTGCCTTTTTATGTATTTAGCACTAAAACTGCAGACAACACACACTCTAAAAATGAAATGTTGGATTTACTTAACCATGTTATGTGACCTGGTTCCACTTAACTGAGTTGAGTAAATTCAAAGCAATATACTCATGTTCTTTGGCTAAAAAACTGGTATATTGCTTTGAATTTACTCAACTCAGTTAAGTGGAACCAGGTCAAATAACATGGTTAAATAAATCTAACACTTCATTTTTTACAGTGATTTTGTTCTTGTAAATCTGGACAGTTGCGGATGAAAGCTCCGTGTTTTCCCTCTGCTCAGCAGCACCACCCTGTGTTCATCAGAGGCTCTGCAGCCAAAGTCACATGATTTACTCAGCTGCTGACTGTGCTGCTTATTCAAACCTAAAATCTTTCTTTGSTTACTAGACACTGATTTATTTTGTGTCTCCTCAGACCCGACATCTGACATCAGCAGTGAGACCTCTGATGAAGACGGAAGTAGGATGTTGAATTCAAAGTCAAGTAACGACAGAATGATTTTAGGATTTATTAAATGTATAGAAACGATTAAATTCACTGGATTATGTGCTGTTTAATATTAGTTACTTTCATAAAAATGTAAAAATTAAAAAGGTACTGAGCAGAGTATAAGCAATTAAGGGTTTAAGCTAAAAGTAATAAATATATAGGCCGAAATTAGATGATGATAATAATAATAATAATAATAATAATAATAATAATAATAATAATAATAATAATAATAATAATAATGCAACATGTGAATAAATTAATATTTCCAATACTTGTGTCTGAATATTTGTGCAGCTGAGTTTCATTTCAGACTGACAGGTGTGCAGCTCTCATAAACTTCACACCTTTTAACCCTGCTGCTGCCCTTGGGTCAAAATGATCCAAAAACTGAGGGAAAGTTCATCTGGAACTTGCACTGTTGCATAATCTTTTAGTTTTTTTAAGTCTTAAAGAAAATGCTACTGTTTAAAAAACTTTAATCATTTATGTGTACATTTGATTTGGTAAAAGATAAAGACAAAACATATGATTTCATATCTGTCTTTTACATTTGCTTATTTTCCTAATTAACATTTTTCTGGCCCCAAAGCTAATATAACATCAAAAATGTGAAATTGTTTCTCTTTTTTTGTCAATATTTAGTGCAGTTGTCTCATGACAATTAAATTTAATGATCTTTTTCTGGATTCTCTTCTTATTTTAAAGTGAAATAATTGGATTTTTAGTGAGGGTTGTTTTTGTAACTTATTTGCTGGATCGTGATGTAATGTTTCTCTAAGATATAAGAAATAAAAAAAGGTTTTTAAAATAGAGTGTAAGGCTAAGAATGATATGTCCTTGTGAATTTAAACATTTTTCTTAATTTGTTAGATTATGTGCTCTAAACTCTAAAATAGGTTTTGGAAAATGTAATTTGTATTTCTGATAATTTGTAACTTAAAACCAAGATTTCTTTCCCGCAGTATATATTGACAGGGATTGGATCACGTTTTGCATGTTGGCCCCCTTGTGYAACTAAGTTTGAGCCCCCTGCTTTACACCACTCCTCCTTATTTAACCACTTCTTGGATGATGTCTAAATCCCGCCTCCAGGTCTCAAAAACAGCCAGTTGCCCTGCAGATGTGCCGATGTAGGCCTACTACGTGTTTTCACAGCCACACACATCTTCTCTGTTCCTGCAGCTGCCCTCAGACACCTTCTGTGACTGATTGTGTCTGCACACTAACAACCTCCTCCGACAGGCAGCAGACATGTTTTTACAGCCTGCAGACACAAGAACTCCTTTGAATACAAGACCCTGAAACTCGACACTTTCCTCGGCTCACCAGGGAAAAYGAAGAAATGAGGCAGAAAACTTGAGCTCGCCCCTCCGATTTTATTCTCTCTTTGAGGATACATGCTGTAAAAACACTTACATAACACATGGAGTTACTGTTGAATCTTATACAAACGCATATATTTTATTTTCGACATGCCACATCTTGTGGGGAGATGGGTTCTTTTTTGATTGATGAGCTCTTTCCAAAGAGTTCAAAGGCTGGGTTGACTCCTTGTGATTCCAACCTGAAACAACAACAATTGTGTTCAGTTTTGTGCATTTTGTTGTATTTTTTTAGCTGTCCTTCTAAACTTCTCCTCCTCCTCTCAGTGTTACCCACCTGAGAGTCTCTGCAGCATCTTCTCAGTCCTGGAACCAGTTGATGAGGTAGCTGCAGACGCCGTGGAAGCTCTTCCAGCAGTACTCGGTGGCGAGGCGGGAGGCAGTGGACTCGGGCTCTTCCGTTGCATGTGTAGTGGTCTTCCCAGGCTTGGGGGTGGGCTTTCTGCCCTGTGGGACCTTGCCTGGCTGTGGCTTCATGTGAGGCTTCACAGGTTTGGCGGTGGCGACAGGCTTGGGCTGGGCTTGCACCGACGGTTTGCGCTCCTCCTTGGGGGGCTTCGGCCAAGAGGTGAGGAAGGTCATTTGGGCCTCGTCTGGGTATTTCTTGCACATCTGGGGGCGGTAGATTTTAGCTCCCTGGCAGGCGCTCTTCAGCTTCCTCAGCTCCCACATCATCTGGGTGAAGTAGTGGCGAGGGTTGGCGTTGTAGGCGCGGCACAGGCTCGGTTTGCCCTGGAAGTCGCAGTAGTGGGACCGGCCTGTGGTCTGGCCCGGTCTCCTGCAGGAGACACGCAGCCGGGTGTAGTTTCCCGCTGCTGACACCGCCATGGTGCATGACTCCTTGTCCTTGGTGCTGAATCTGATGGGCTCATCCCAAACGCTGCGTTGCTGCTGCTTGCCGTCGTCTTGAGCGTTTGACAYGCAAACGTTTGCTGCCAAGAGCAGCACCAAGACCCTCACCCTGGCTYTCATGGTGAAGTGCGGACTTCTGAGGCTACTTCTCTGTTTGCTCCAAAATGTTCGAATGTGCAAGAGGGGAGGGAGGGGAWAAAACATATAGGTGGAACTTTACATGGCAGAAACTTACAAAGAGGGTATTATTCATGCAAAGCTGAATTACTCAGACTCCGCCTCCTKGTTCCTCACATAAACACGTGTGGTCCTCTCAAAACTCTGGTGATTGATGAGATGGCTGGAGAGTGGAAGGAGCATGAACCGAGGGAGGAAGAGGAGGGAGGGGCAGGTTTTCCGGTGAATAAGAGGGGCATGGGGGGCTGACGGTGTATAATCCTGAACAGGAGGCTCATTGACCATTGATGAAGAGAGCGGAGAGCCAAAGTGCTGCCTAAAGGTTTTTGGTAAGGTATTAGGACTAGTTCTGCAACCCTGACAAAATAAAATATATATTCCTTGATTTATCCTTTCTAATAATTTAGAAAGGATAAATTCTAGATGTTAAAAGTGCCACATCAATGTATATGTTCAAGAGAATGAAAAAGACTTGATTGTTAAATAAAATATGAAATGGATTAAAATGTAGCCATTCATTTTGTTCTAGAACGATTTAATGATTTGTTTTGTTAACTGAAGATTATTATAGTTTGAATTTATAATTGAGAAAAAAGGG